ATTCACAATGGAGCTCTTGGTGAGTGGAGTTTGGAATTACGCTTGATGTGAAGCTTTCTTAGAAACGAGTTTTTCAAGGTAGCCAAGGTGATTTATATAAGTCATACATTATAAAGAGATTTCCGTGAGATACTTACACGGTAAGGAGGTTACGAAAAAAGTGTATGTGTTTTTACTTATGTGTGTGTGTGTGTGTGTGTGTCTGTGTGTGTGTGTGTGTGTGTGAGAGAGAGAGAGAGAGAGAGAGAGAGAGAGAGAGAGAGAGAGAGAGAGAGAGAGAGAGAGAGAGAGAGAGAGAGAGAGAGCATGTGCGTGTGTATACTTGAGATCTATTTATATAGACAGAAATATCAACTGATACGTATTTGGATACTCATAAGGTAGGTCTGAAGTTGGGTCGCTCATATACGACTGTTATCTCTGACCGCATTTAAATGCCTGGGTATAAAACAAATACGTCAGAGTAATAAATGAAATTAAATTATTTTAGGGACAGTATTAATGGTTTTAGTTACATCCCTATGTTCCCGAAGGCTTTAACTCAACCGCTCCGAATTTATGTTCTATTCCCTATGTTTTTTTGTGAATGTTGTTACATAGAGATGGCTCCACATGTGCTCAGCCGGCAAGGCGTCTATCAGTAGCCCTAGTGACCGATCCTGATTTCCCCATTCCTTGAATTGGCGAAAAAAATGTGTTTTTCTTTTTAGTACAGTTGATATTAGTTCTGTTATTATTGTTATTGTTGTTATGATTATTAAATTGTTATTAAAATCTCGATAACATTTAAAACCATTAAATAATGCAAAAGACCCTTTCCTAAAGTCGAGGAAAATGGTAAACAGGTGCGATAGGTAGAACTACTAGCTGACTCCTTGGTGACTAAACACTTGTAGAGCCATCTATGTCTGCAATAGATAAACTTGTTTTACAGTGGGTATTTCATGTATTCTTACCATCCGGGGCGATTGGGTTAAGTAGCGCTGCCAACATTTCTATGAAATACTCACTAGTGGATAATAAATCAACGTAAGAAATGGCTGCGACGCCATCATGGAAAAGGGTTATTCTATTATGAAAAATAATTTCTATTAAAATCTACTCACTTATCATGAGAGGAAATACAAGTTTCTCAATTCCGTCATTATTGTAATATTTGTGAAGGGAAGTCATATTTTAAAGCGTGTATACATTTTTTTTTCTCTTCCTCTTTGTCTTTCTTTTCTCCTTCCCTTTTCCTCTCTCTCTCTCTGCCTTAATATGTGTATATATATATATATATATATATATATATATATATATATATATATATATGTGTGTGTGTGTGTGTGTGTGTGTGTGTGTGTGTGTGTGTGTGTGTGTGTGTGTGTGCATATATGGATGTGTGTGTGGGTGGGTGTGTATATGTGTGTGTGTTTGTGTAAGTACATATTCATTTATTTATATGTAAATATATGTATGTATGTTGTTGTTTTTTACTACTATACTCAGCTCTGTTTGTATTGTGTGTATGTATGCTAATTGGTTGTTTCTTACAGGTTCTGGTCTCGGCACTGGCTGCAGTGGCAACTGCTGCGCCACAAGGCTACAATTTGCCTACGCCTGGGCAGCCTGGGCCTGGTGTTCCACTCCCTGCAGCTGCTGGAATCTCTAGTAGCGGAGGGCATGGGTCTTTTGAGGATTCCGGTGAGGGTTTCCTGATTGGAGGCCCTGCCGGTGGTTGCCAGGACGGAGAGGTTCTTCATGTTGACGGGAAATGCTATGCCCCCGTAGTTACCAGAAAAGTCTTCGTATACGAGTCTCCTGCTCTCCCTCCCGCCCCCGTCGGTCCACCACCAAGAATTCCTCCTCCTCGAGTGGATCATAACATCTTATTTGTTCATCTTCCTGAGGATGGACCTGCCCCTGAACCATTCATTATTCCTCCACCAAGGACCGAAAGCGTTGTGTACATCCTTAACAAGCAGGGTGAACAACAGCAGCGTGTTATCGAAGTACCTGCCCATCCTCCGTCTGATCCCGAGATTTACTTCGTCAACTATGCTGAAGGAGAAAATCCTGCTCTTCCCATCGGCGTGGATCTTCAGACAGCTCTCGGCGCTGCTTCTCAGGCCGGAGGTCAAGTCATCGGCGGTGCTGGTGGACTTGGTGGCGGTGCTGGTCTTGGTGCTGGAGCTGGTGGACTTGGTGGTGCCGGTGGACTTGGCGGAGCCGGCGGACTTGGTGGCGCCGGTGGATTTGGCGCTGGAGCCGGCGGACTCGGTGGTGCCGGTGGTCTTGGCGCTGGAGCCGGTGGATTTGGCGCTGGAGCCGGTGGACTTGGTGGTACTGGTGGTCTTGGCGCTGAAGCCGGCGGACTTGGCGGGGCCGGTGGATTTGGCGCTGGAGCCGGCGGACTCGGTGGTGCCGGTGGTCTTGGCGCTGGAGCCGGTGGATTTGGCACTGGAGCCGGTGGACTTGGTGGTGCTGGTGGTCTTGGCGCTGGAGCCGGCGGATTTGG